GTTTGACAATCGCTTGCCAAAATTACTTTTCCGTATGAACCTTGCAAGTGGATGAGTTTCGAAAATTAGGAGAAAATTGGGATAGTATCTTCCTTAATTTAGAGGTTAATAGGATATGTACTGACTGCCATCTGTCAGCATCGTCGACGTATCGTATTGCGACGGCCTCTCCGACTGTTTGACAATCGCTTGCCAAAATCACTTTTCCTTGTGAATTTTGCAAGTCGATGGGTTCCGAAAATTAGGGAAAAATTGGGATAGTATCTTTCTTAATTTAGAGGTTAATAGGATATGTACTGACTGCCATCTGTCAGCATCGTCGACGTATCGCGTCGCGACGGTTTGACAATCGCTTGCCAAAATTACTTTTCCGTGTGAACCTTGCAAGTGGATGAGTTTCGAAAATTAGAAGAAAATTGGGATAATATCTCCCTTAATTTAGAGGTTAATAGGATATGTACTGACTGCCATCTGTCAGTATCGTCGACGTATCGCGACGCGACGGTTTGACAATCGCTTGCCAAAATTACTTTTCCGTATGAACCTTGCAAGTGGATGAGTTTCGAAAATTAGGAGAAAATTGGGATAGTATCTTCCTTAATTTAGAGGTTAATAGGATATGTACTGACTGCCATCTGTCAGCATCGTCGACGTATCGCGTCGCATTGGCCTCTCCGATTGTTTGACAATCGCTTGCCAAAATCACTTTTCCCTGTGAATTTTGCAAGTCGATGGGTGCCGAAAATTAGGGAAAAATTGGGATAGTGTCTTTTTTAATTTAGAAGTTAATAGGATATGTATTGACTGTCACCTGTCAACATCGACGACGTATCGCGTCGCATTGGCCTCTCCGATTGTTTGACAATCGCTTGCCAAAATCACTTTTCCCTGTGAATTTTGCAAGTCGATGGGTGCCGAAAATTAGGGAAAAATTGGGATAGTGTCTTTTTTAATTTAGAAGTTAATAGGATATGTATTGACTGTCACCTGTCAACATCGACGACGTATCGCGTCGCATTGGCCTCTCCGATTGTTTGACAATCGCTTGCCAAAATCACTTTTCCCTGTGAATTTTGCAAGTCGATGGGTGCCGAAAATTAGGGAAAAATTGGGATAGTGTCTTTTTTAATTTAGAAGTTAATAGGATATGTATTGACTATCACTTGTCAGTATTGACGACGTATCGCGTTGCGACGGCGTCTCTGACTGCGAAAGTCGCTTTTCCGTATGAATTGTTCAAATCGATGGGTTCCGAAAATTAGGGAAAAACTGGGATAGTGTCTTTTCTAATTTAGAGGTTAATTGGATACATACTGACCATTACCTGCCAATATCGCCGACGCATCGCATTCCAATTGTTTGATAATCGTTCGCGAAAATTGATTTCCGTATAAATTTCGCAAGTGAATAGTCTCCGAAAATTGAAATAATATGTTTTTCAATTTACAGACTAATTGGACATGGACTGACCGCTGCTTTCCAAGATGGCCGACGCGTCGCGTCGCGACGGCCTCTCAAGCTGCCTGACAATCAATGGTAAAAGTCACTTCTCTGTTTAAACCTTACAAATGGATATTCTTCGAAGATTACTATAACGTCTGTTTTAATTTCCAGGTTAATAGAACATGGACCAAAAGCATATTTGCAGAAGAAATTCGACGGAAGCAAGAAAATGGGGAAGCAGTGCTGGACCCCACTCGTCCACTTCAAACATTCCAGGTATTTCCTCTAGTAATTAAATAATCTTCGAAGATTGGCAAAATATAATAACGGGAAGTAGCACTTTGCTCGGTTTCTGAAATTTCGATTGAATTTATACCGTCGGTTAAAGACACTCTCGAGTATGAAATTAGAATGATTCGGTTGTTACGTTTGCTCGCGAAGAAAATGGAGAAAAGCAAGAGCGGAATAAAAATAGGAAACACCAGCGTTACGCTCCACTTTTGAAATTTAGAATACACGTAGACTCGATGTTAACGAGTTTATGCTAACGAGCGTGTGATTAATCGAAAAATTAGGGCATGTATAATTTGCGCTAGCTGTTAGCGAACGATTAAATTAAATGGAATTTCCATAGGAGAAAAAGGCAGGAGTAACAAAGCGGAGAATCATCCTCGTGCTCTATTTCTCCAATTTAAACCACACTGAAATCCCCCAATTAACAGCCGTTAATATCCCTTCGAACTTTGGGGCGAGGAATTCGAGAAACGATTAAAAAATTCAGGTCGCGAAATTACCTCCTGTCCTACGAATACCTAACAAGTCTCTTATCGTAATAGCTACGCTCGCGACTCGTACTACCCCGTAACCTAGGTCGCTAGAGCCGTACCACGCATACCAGCGATTAACCCTTACCTACCGCAATACGCATCTCATTAATATCGGAAAAGGGGAGAGAAAAAAGGAGGAAGCCTGGAAACAAAAGCGACTATCGCGTTCGTCACGAGGATCACACCACGCGTTCCACGACAATGTTATCCCTCATCGCGCGCTAATAACACGTTCTTCCCTGTCTCCCTACATCACCACGGGATCACCGTAGTCTGCCGATACACGCGCGACAGGCAATTACCATGCAAACGGTACCGAGCGAACGTCTTTTCGCACCCTCCTCTGTCGCGCGGCACGGCAAGGAGGAACGAGGAGAACGGGAGAAACGCGGACAAAAGGAGCCGCGCGTGCAAATAACCGCGTGA